CCAGCTTACCAGAGGCTTCTTAAGGCCCATGCTTAAGATAATAGAACTTGAATTGATTTTTTTAAGAACCTGCTTTAGCTTGGTGTTAATCAGGGTGTTTAAAAAAAGCACCAAAGGGTGAATTTTCTTACTCTGTGCATGTAGACATATTTTCCTAAGAAGTGCAGCAACTGGGCCACCTGCTTGGAGGAAGCCCCAAATGCTTGATTGCCCCCCATTGAAGAGCTGCACAATTCACCGTATTCTTCTCCGTGTTGCAGAAAATCAAAGCAAATGGTGCTCCTGAGGGTTGAAGGTCATTTTTAAGCATTTAATTTATGAGTGCAACAGCCGGAGCTGGAAATGCTGTAGTTTTGGCCTGACTAGGACCACGAAGATCATGGCCACTGGTCCCATCACCTCCTGGCAAATAGAAGGGGAAGAAATGGAGGCAGTGAGAGATTTTACTTTCTTGGGCTCTATGATCACTGCAGATGGTGACAGCAGCCACGAAATTAAAAGACGCCTGCTTTTTGGGAGAAAGGCAATGACAGGCCTAGACAGCATCTTGAGAAGTAGAGACGTCACCTTGCCAACAAAGGTCCGTATAGTTAAAGCCATGGTTTTCCCAGTAGTGATGTATGGAAGTGAGAGCTGGACCATAAAGAAGGCTGATCGCCGAAGAATTGATGCTTTTGAATTATGGTGCTGGAGAAGACTCTTGAGAGTCCCATGGACTGCAAGAAGATCAAACACATCCATTCTTAAGGAAATCAGCCCTGAGTGCTCACTGGAAGGACAGATCGTGAAGCTGAGGCTCCAGTACTTTGGCCACCTCATGAGAAGAGAAGACTCCCTGGAGAAGACACTGATGCTGGGAAAGATGGAGGGCACAAGGAGAAGGGGGCGACAGAGGACGAGATGGTTGGATAGTGTTTTCGAGGTTACCAGCATGAGTTTGACCAAACTGCGGGAAGTAGTGGAGGACAGAGGTGCCTGGCGTGCTCTGGTCCATGGGGTCACGAAGAGTCGGACACGACTAAACGACTAAACAACAACAACAAGGACCACATCTCACAATCTGAGCACCACGGGTAAACTTTTGATTACTGCCTCTGCAAGATGGCTGCTTGCAGTCATGTGGATACAGAAAAGGCAATGCAAGCCAGTCCACAAAGGAGAGCCAGTTCACTCAGACAGCTCACCATGTATGAACTTGGCAGTCCTATCACAAGAACCGTTCCTAACTAAAAGCAACTGAATGATCCAGTACAGATTTGAAAACAATGGCAACTATATTCTGAAGCTTATGCAACTATCCACTTAGCACACAGCCTATAGTATTTGGTAACAACAATTGTGCATTCACTTTTATCTTATATATTATAGCAAGGTCTCAGGACTAGCTGGGGGGAAATGGTAGTTACAGTTTGCTTCGACGGTAGCATAATATTTAATGAGTGATGGCCATACACTTTGATTTTCAGTGCCAAGCTGCAGGAAAGGATATAATGCACCAAATGATTTTACTAGAATTGCCTTCTAAAGGCATACATTACATGCACAGACTTCTTAAACAAGATGGAGTGTGGCTTGCATTTTCACTATGTCACGAAGCCCAGGGGGGGGGAGAATTACAATGCATTTCACTAGCCTGGGTGTGTTTTCAGTTTCTGCTCTTTCACAATTGCTGACTGTGAAGAACTGTAGCAATGGCAAATCATGGCAGTTGGAACGTAAGTCATATTATATATTTGATAGCAGCACATGCAGAGGATAGGAAAAACTGAGCTGTAAACTCAAGCCCTATTCAGGTGTTCTGCTCAGGTGCAACACCGATAACGTGAGCGGGGAAATACGAATGAGTGCAGGGTTCAAAATCAGACAGGGTGTGTCAACAGGTAGGAGGAAGCTCCACATTTCAGAACTGTGTCTTCCTTGAGATGGAGGGTGGTGGTGGGGGTAGCAACTGAGGTGGGGGGAGCAGAGCTTAGATCCCTTCATTCTCTCTCTCTCTCTCTCTCTCTCTCTCTCTCTCTCTCTCTCTCTTTCTCTTTCTCTTTCTCTCTGCGTGTGTGGAGATTTTATAGCTGAGCAGAATACCCCAAAGGGAGTTCCAGGCAATCTCTTAAAACCAAAACAACCATCAAGTATTTTCAACAGATGGACCTTTCAATTGCCATCTTTTATGCATGCATGCATGCATGAAAAACCCCTTCCCCCAAAAAAACACTCTGTGAAAAATACCAATGAAATGCATCATGTTTTGCAGGAGGAAGAACTTACAAAATTCATTTCAAATTTCTTACTTTAGGTACATGAAATATACTCGTAGTTGAGTGTTGATTTCATGCTCATCATTTCAGCTCATAGTAAACAGTGAGTGAGTGCTTTCCCCTAAAACCTCTGGCTATATATACAGTGGTACCTCGGGTTACAGATGCTTCAGGTTACAGACTCTGCTAACCCAGAAATAGTACCTCAGGTTAAGAACTTTGCTTCAGGATGAGAACAGAAATCGTGCTCCAGCGGCGTGGCAGCAGCGGGAGGTGCCATTAGCTAAAGTGGTGCTTCAGGTTAAGAACAGTTTCAGGTTAAGAACGGACCTCCAGAACGAATTAAGTTCTTAACCCGAGGTACCACTGTACATTATTTACACAATGAGTCCCGTGTGATTGGCTGATTGAACTCCCCTCCTGGAGCCTGATTGGACTGTTCCTGCAGGCCAAGCAGGTTGCTGATTCATTTCCTCCTGGTTTCTGATTGGGCTGCTCCTGCAGGCCAATCAGGTTGCTGATTCACTTCTTCCTGGAGCTGGATTGGGTGGCTCCTGCAGACCAATCAGGTTGCTGCCTTCTAGGATCCTACCTGCCTATTGTTCTAGGATCCAAGTTCAGTACATAACAGTTCAGATCACAAAAAAGAGGATATGCATCACCAAAAGAAAAAAATGGAACAAAAGAGGGTGCAGGTCTCAAAAAGGACATTTTTCAACCACCCAAAAGCACCCAAGGAACACAAAGCAGTGTCAAAGCAGCCTAAGTAGAGGAGGGAGTGGCGTGGTAAGGGGTGTGGTCTATGGGAAGTCCTAAGGGCCAAATATAGAGATCTGGGTGAACCACATTTGTCCTGTGGTTCCAAACCCCAGTTTATCACATTATTTACATGCTGCCCTGGTTCTGTCTGGCATAATGGGAGTGTGGCGGGAGGGGGAGCCCAGGCTCTCTTTCTTTAACACTGGAGTACTTCAATAAAATGATGTTTACCACTGAGTCAGTTTTAACTAGAATATTGTAGTTGACTGAAGTCCCAATCTGTTCTTTTGCTGAGAGGGCTCCTGGGATTGCTAATGGGACATGGAACACTTCACTTTTGGTACACTGACTAAAATGCAGTGCAGTTTAGTAGAAAGTGAATGTCATTACTGCCTGCTTATAGCTGTGTGGTGGCCTAGATTAAATGAGTTTGGAAGTGCGGACATATTGAAGCCATGTGGCCATGACATACACAATAACAAACTCTTAAACCATTATTGGCATTCTCACCAGAGAACCTAAGAGACTAAACATTTCTGGAGAATGAAGAGTCTTTTCATAGGGACCTGCCAAATGCCTGTTTTCCAGGTTCACACACAAACAAGGCATTTTGAATTTGCATGCTAGTTCCTGCATCTGAATATTAACCCCACTGGAATGTTAAAAGGACTTTTGAAAGCAAAAATCAAAACCACATGTATTTCAGGATCTGAAAATTGTATAACCATAAATTAATCTAAATGCATATTTGCAAAAGTGTGCAATGCAGTCAAGACTGGTAGCTTTTCTTCTCCTGCTCTGGCCAGACTATGAGAGCCCACTTGCACTATACATTTAAAACAGTATCATCCCACTTTAAGCAATCATAGCTTCCTTCAAAGGATCCTGATAACTGTGGTTTGTTACAGGTGCTGAGAGTTGTTAGTGTTGGGATACTACCAGGGAGACAGAGCCATCAGGCAGGCCCCAGTCATCTCCGGACGATCACTTGTCTCCCATGGAACAGCATCAGTCAATTAGCGACACGAGCATCAGAGACATTCCAAGACTCATGCACACCCTTTCTGCAGAGTCTCCACAACAAAAGACACTGACAGGAGAGCATATTTACACAAAGGAAAAACATGACTGCTTGCCTCCGTGTCCAGGAAAACAGCCAGAACAAAAGCTATATACAAAACGGAAGTTCCCAGCAAGAAGCTGGAAGTCAGCAGGCATGTGATACACAGCAATCATGCCTGACCATTTAAGGTGGAACGGAAATATCCTAACAGTTAGGTGACCCCTATTTCCCTCACAGAGCTTCAGTTCCCAAAGATCCTGGGAAGAGGATTATTAAACCACTCTGAGAATTGTAGTTCTGTGAGTGGTTAACTGACCCAAATGATTTTAAATAAATTTCTCCCTGTCTTTAATAAAATAACTATTTAAATGTCTTCCTTTGGTAAAAGCTTATTTGTTTTGGTTTAACTTTGTCTGCAGTCTTGTTTTTCACCCTACACCTGAATTATCACACTACCTTCTACCTTCCAGTGTTGGCTGGTTCAGCAAGTTCCAGGCTGCATACACACCCTACATTTAAAACACATTTAAAGGTTCACATTTAAAGCACCATTAAACTACAGTTCCCAGAATAATTTGGAAAGATCATGTGCTTTAAATGTAAGCAATGTACAGATAGGGTTTGTTATAACACACACATCTCTCGTGGTGTATGCAACATCTTGTGCTAACACAGCACTCCAAAACAAAAGCACTTATTTTCAAGAGTCATGTTGGAACACCACACATGCAGATGAGCACATCTATATGTACCATTGTGTATAATTGGATGAAGGGTAACAGTCCACTATGTTGCACTGTTGTGTGTTTAAAGCCACCCTAAATTCCACTCTAAGTTTTCCTAAGTGCTGAATTTATAACTAATTTTAAAAAATGCTCACAAAAGACATGTAGGCAATAGAAAGCAAACAACATCCAGCTTACCAGAGTTGCAAGAATATAGTGGTAGCCTATCCCATTTTTTCCAAGCTTGATGATCTGTGGTGGTGAAACACAAAACATTTTATTTAGCAGTATAATTTACTGGTAAAACAAGGAGACTTTCACAATGTCTCTCCTGCTTCTGCAATTATTTTAGTTCAGTTGTACTATAAATGAGAATATTTGCATCAGGACTACTGAGAAGCTACTTAAAAAAACACAAACCCATTCCCATATTCAAGCCAGAAGAAACTGTCTGTAATGACACATGGGGTTACAGTTGCTACGTGATCGGAATAAGCAAGGAAGAAGTTGCAAAATGAGTACAGTTACTATATCCCCAAAGTAGGGTGCAAACGCATAATACATTATCCTCACGCATCGCAAATGTTTTAGAAAATTATGCTGCTCTCTATCTCACAAGCAAAGGGCGATGATGATCACCGCTACTGACAGGAGCAGTTTGCTGTCATGTCTTCTAGGGCTGGCTTGTGTATTAGACAATGGTAGAGCGAACAAAAGGCTGAGGGAGTTTGCCTTTTGCTTTCTCAGCTTTTGCCGTAATGTCTCAAATGGGACTTGCAGACTTCACCTGGACTGGCCTCCATGAACTCCTGGGGTTATCGGGGGCCCACAGACCATCTCACAGATGGGGGAAGAGGTGGAATGCTTACTTTTTGTATGACAGCAGAAGAAGGTGAAAAAAGAAGCACAAGCTATGTCTTTGTGAGAGCAGAAGGACAATATAAAAACTGCCTTGAGGTTTCAACAGCAACCAGCTAAGTGTATCAACCTGGCAAACAGGGTGTGGCCTCCCCAGATTATTTTTCAGATATTCAGAGGTAGGATGTCTCTGCACATGGAGGTTTCATTTTCCCGCCATGGTTAACATGTCTGACTTCTGTAGCAGTGTGTCATGGTTTAAATAGGAGGTAGGAAACTTTCAGCCCTCATTTCTGTGAGGGGCAAGAGGAAACAGGGTGGCAGAGAGATAGAAAGAAGGTAGCAGAAATAGATGAAAAGAGTGACCCTGCCCATTTTGGGCTCTGACCTCATCCACTGGCCCTGGCCCAGCATGTATGCTCCCATCCCCACAACAGATTATACCTGAGAAAGTGCCACTCTCAGCCACCACACTCTTCAATATTTTCGGGGGTGACTTCTATGATAGTTCTGGGATGATACTTTATTTTTTCTGAGCCTCCATCAGTGACTTCCCCAGCAGAACTAAAGGACTGGCTGAACAGCCTAAGGGCAGAGGTCTTCACCCATAGGCACTAAAAGGCAGAAAGGTACTGAATTGAGTATCCCTGGGTGCAATTAATGCTCAAGGCATTTCCTTTCTGGTCAGCACCTACAGTCTGCAAGAAGAGCCTATTGCAGGTCTGTAAATGGGATGGAAACCCTCACCATTATGCCTTGTTCCAGGGTTACGGGGTTTATAAACATTCTCAGGTTCCCGCTCACATTAAAGGTTATATTCCGGTTAAATGGACACAGCAGCATTTAACCGTGGACAATCTGCACCATGTCTGGAGAGCAAAGGTGGCCCCAAGGGCACACAGATCTAGCCTGTGCAACATTATAAGTTTATATATGGCATTCCTCTCTAACAAATGTGTAGTGTTGTCTGTGAATTTCTCTCCCCAGCACCATGACCTTTGCAGGGCTGAATGCAGACAGTTTTACTGTTCTTTGTCACTATAAATGCTGAATGGCTCATAATGCTGTCGGGTTCCTTTGCCAGTAATAGATATCTTTCCATTGCCTTTGCGGAACTGAAGAGACTCTTTCTAAAGGGCAAAGTTAGTTGCACTCTTCCTCATCTGCTTTTATTGACATTGTTTTTTCCATCCACTTTCTCCCCATCCCCTACCAGCACAGTATATGCTTGGGCTGAGCTCTTATCGAATTTGCATGAACCAAAACACTGGCAGTGCTACCTATTGGGAAATGGAGAGGAGAGCGGCAGGACAGCAACCCTGAGCTATTTCTGTCCATTTCTCCCCACCCACTCCTGCATCTTTATGAGCTTTTTTAGCTACAGACAAGAATAGGTACAATACAAATTAAATTCTGGGACCTTTCAATTTCTTTTTAATAGAGCACGTGACCACAGAATGAAAAAGTGTGGATGGGTTTTCAATTAAACATCAATGCCCGGGTGGGATCTGTAGGAATACTCAACAATGTCATAAAGATCCCTGGCATTACAATTATCACCAAATGGATTAGTGGTTATTGGACACTTGTTCATATGTTAACTGGCTCACCTGCCTTAGCCTTTTGCAGAAATGCTCTTGAGTATACATTAAAAGCTGTCTGAGTCCTATGCTAATAACCCAGCACCTCAATTAGTGTTATCAGAGCAGACATTTGTTAGCATTTCTGGATACAAATAAGTAAGGCTCCACCACCTTTCACACCAGGCAGATCTCCTGGGTGGGATAATTAAATAATGACTGCAGCAAATGAGTCTGGAACGTCTGCAGATCAGCATGATCTTTCACAAAAGGCTCGTTTCAGTTGCATGGATTTCTCCTGAACCCAGGAAGTGGCTTAAGCTTCATGATATTTTAGGGTACAATTGCCAGACAGGAAAAGAAAAGGACTGCCTTATGAGCCATCAGTGCAGATTGGAAATAACTAGAACAAAATGAATATGGAAAGCGAGGCAGTTGTTTTAAAATTATGTCATCTGTTTCTCACTGTTTGCAGATGTATGTACAAAAATAAACCCAGAAAACTGCTATTTCATAATATATATTTTATATAGAAAGAATGTGAATAGAGCTCCCACATACAGGCCCACTTGCTTCAGTGTGTATACAATTACTATCCCCCCGCCCTTTAATATTTATATGCTGGGTATAAATTCAACTTCCTAGTTCCCTCTCAAGATTGTGGCACTGCAATAACCCCCCCCCCCGAGAAACCTTTTTCTTCCATGGCTCTCTTAAAAGACACTAACATATATCCAAACAATTAATATATGTTTGGGCTAAAACTATATGTTTCTGTTAGCCTTTATGGTCAAATAACATGTTGTGCCTCCAGATGTTGTGCCTTCCTTTTTCCTTCTGCATGAGGAAGCTTGGATTGTGGCCTGTTACCTAAAGTTCTGGCTTGTGTGTGTCTTTATTTATTGAAAGAGATAGGAAACAGGTTTAAGTTACACATGTTGTCAATCATCTCTGGCAGTCCACCAAATGCAAATCAAACGAAATGCGATGGAAAATGAATTTTTTAAAGGACTTCTATCTACCACTGTGTCTTAAAATGTAAGAATCAGATGCAGATGCAGGAAAGTTAAACCTACAAGCCTGGGACATGTTGTGAATTTCACCATTCGATGTTTATTTTGTAGTCCAAAGATAAAGGTTTTTTCACCCAGAGAAGGAAACCTGAGTCAAATCCTACTGACTTCCCTTCTGTTATTATGTTTCAGTTGTGAAGTGTATACTGAAGAATTGTGGATCTGTATTTACTACTATTTATTAAATTTCTGGCATCATTGCTGAATATCTCTGGAATGAAAGCATAGCTCCTCAGCAGCATAAATCACAGTTCAGGTTTCAGGCATAAGGCAACAGGTGACTACAAATAAACAGATGGGATGAGCCCAGGGGAACAGTGAGATTAATCTGATAAACAATCTAATCCCAGCATTACAGCACAGCAGCTGTTTTGTCATAGGCAATTTTTTATGCACCAGCGCAAACAAGCTACCTGTATATGGATTTGCAAAAGGTATTCATTTATCTCTGCAGTTATTTCTGACTTCCCATATACTGGTATGGCCTACTGGGGCCACTTTGTGTGAATACAACTGTGGTGTTTTTACAATTCATATCTGTTGTGTCACATGCAAAATTGACTTAATTGTGACTCATTTACACATTTGGTTGTTTATATCTTACATAGAACAGATGATGATAGTTTCAAACCTGTTGTCTGTTCAGCGCACTGAACCACAACAGTGAAGAAGGACTTTTCATATCAGAAGTGAAAAATCATTTTCATATTCATGGCATCACTGGTGAGGTGTGTCTGTCTCCTTCATTGTGGATTTGCATGAGGAACTTACAAACATTCCTGTTTACCCACACATTTGATGGTTAAAAGACATCCATCCTGATAGCCCTGAGATCTCTGGTTGAGATAATATTTTTAACTGTTTTTTAAAATAAATAATGTTTTTGCCTCTCTGGCCTCCTTTGGCAGGAAGGGAGGAATATAAATTGAAATAATGAATGAAGAAATAAATAATCTTGGGAACATTGAAGGCAATTTAGAAAAAATAAGGTGATAGCTTCAGGGGTCCACTGAGATATCTCCAGAATAATATTATGGTATGACTGAGAACTAGATGGGAGACCAGGAAGTGTAGCGCTATTATTATTATTATTATCAATCAGATGGCACATTATTCCATCTTCCTGTTTCCTTACCTGTTAATTTCTCCCTTTTTATGTAATCTTTCACATGACATAAAAGTGACTTCTGGAAATTTAGTGGACTCTAACAGAATTTAAGGTTGCAAAATGTATTGTAGTAAATAGAACTAATAATAATAATAATAAATAATAATAACAATAACAATAATTTATTATTTATACCCCGCCCATTTGGCTGGGCTTCCTCAGCCACTCTGGGCGGCTTTCAAAAAAAATATTAAAATACTGTAATACATCAAACATTGAAAGCTTCCCTAAACAGGGCTGCCTTCAGATGTCTTCTAAAAGTCTGGTAGAACTTAATTATTAAGATATCCCCTTTTTAAAAAAGCCATCTTATGGAGAGACTATATCATATCATATGTTGCAGTCCTAAAGAGGGGCCCCCCCCAATGGCTTAGAATAAAAGTATTAGCAAATCAACAAAGAAAATCCCATACAAATATCTATTAAATTCCTTCAAATAATTTTTATTGACTCAGGAAAACATTCACAGCCTGCTAGCCTGCAGTAGGGGAAAAAACCTATAAAGTGTCTTAAAAGGGTGACATGTTTATTCTGACATAAATGTTTGTGGATTAAAACCCACTTCCCTGTAATAAATATGGTAGCCTTTTGGGTGCCATAAGACTCCTTGTTGTTTTTTCCTGTCTCAGCAGCACTTAATATTGGCACTCACCTTGCCCAAGATAGCGTTGAGCCGCTCTGATTCACAGTCCACCACCACCACCCGCTCCTTCTTCTTCTCCAGGTTCTGGAAGAGTGACTTGTACTCTTCTTCTGTTGTTGTCATTATATTGACAGCTGTCACCTGCCAGTTTTTTTCTGCAGCTGTATCCAACACTTTCTGAAGTACTGACAAACCTGAGATGGGATGAGATGGGGGGGGGAAGAAGAAATAAATCATTCCCCCCCCAAAAAAAATCATATGCCACCTTTTAAGGCAGAACATTTCCAAGGTGACTTATATCAAAACCACCATTCACAGTATATCAAATCTATGAATCCCACAGTTAGTTCTTCTAAATGGCTTTCCTTGTACAACTGTCAGTGATATTGTGACCATTGTAAATGATTTATTTGGAAGTATAGCCTACCACTACAGTCGTACCTTGATTCTGGGATGCCTTGGCACTTGTACGTTTTGGCTCCTGACCGCCACAAACCCAGAAATGAGTTTGCAAACATTTTTTGGAAGCTGAATGTCCGACGCGGCTTAAGTGGCTTCCGACTGAGTGCAGGAAGCTCCTGCGCCTTGGTTTTCAAACGTTTTTGGAAGTTGGACGGACTTCCGGAACAAATTACATTTGAGAACCAAGGTATGACTGTATATCTATCAGCTTCAGGGCAATTTAATATGCAACATTTACATATACAGCGTGATTGAAGTTTCAAACATTTATGTGAGAAGATGGCAGCTGAGGAGTATACAGGTTCCGTTCTTCCCCACTGCAGGGTTGTGGCCATGGGCAAGGCTCAATACATGACTGAAAGGAACTGACCTTAAATTCTAAAGACAGATGGACTCTTTAGCATACCAGACCCACAAACCAACACTAAAGAATGCAGAGAATTTTACTTAACTGATAAAGTGAGTCAAGCTAACTCCTTTAATATAGGAACAGAATTGTGAGGGGTTCTGTAAGCATAGTATATTCGGTTGGGAGCTGCCCAGAGTGGTATAAATAATAAATTATTATTATTATTATTATTATTATTATTATTATTATTATTATTATCATCTGTTAAAGTGTCGCCTCCCTGTGGTGAGAACCCCTCAAGTTTTCTTTCTGAGGGAATTACAGGCCTTAAAAAAAAGCCCCACTTATATACTGAAGGGAAAGCAATGACTCATGTCACATACTTTTCAGCAAACCTGTAGGATAGGCTAGTATTGTTGTTCCCATACTGCAGGTTTGGAGAGGACTGATGCTGAAGCCATTTCATGGTGACTTGCCTAACTCAGGCTAGTAAAGATGCTTAGTGAACTGCCAATATTCTGCTCCCAGAGATGGGCCTCCCCACCCAACTGCCACCAGTGGTTCTTGCCCTGACGGGATGGGAGAAGATGCTGAAATGGGCTTTTAAAAAGGTATTATTATTATTATTTGCCCCATTTGTATTTTTTATTTTATTGTATAATTGTCACTGGTGCTCACTGTTTTAATAATGTTATGTATAACGCTTTGTGAAGTGAAAATTGGTTAAAAAAGGAAGAAATTACTACAATAATTACACAAACAAGTACAATTATGGGGGAAATGAAATTTGATCCGATGGCCTTGGTACATTCTATGACTAACAAGGAGTCTTCTTCCCTACTCCCCCTCCCTCACCAATAATGCTGTGTGTCACACTTCACTCAGACTCACCCCGGTCAGCGTCATAAATATACATAAATTTCTGGCACTTGTAATATTCTATAACACTGATGAGGGCATCCTGTAGTTCTGGGCGCAGCTGAAGAACAAATTGATTGGATGTGTCGACAGGGAAGCTGGGTGTTACAAAGCAGACGTGGAGTGCCCCACAGAAGGATGTGAGCATGTTGACAGTCCTCCTCTCATAAAAGCCAAAGATAGCGTAGACACCCTTGGAAAACTGTGAACAGACTGAGAAGGGGGGGAGGGGGAGGGGATAGAAGTCAGTTTGAGAGGCAGCAAAAAGATTAGGCTCATTTTCATTTTATCTTTGCAAGTATATGTATGATTCAAAACTACTCCACATCTCACTGAATGAAAGCCTCAAGGTCTGAGTAATCAAGAAAGTTTAGCCTGTTCAGGAATTATTCTGGTTCAGAAATATGCAGGGCGGCTTCCCACTACACACAGTCACCTTCCAACTTGAGGACAACAGACAATTTGATGGACAGCTCCCCCCCCCCCGCCATGCAATATGCCGTATGTGCAATCCATTGCACATGTTACAGATAGGTAGCCGTGTTGGTCTGCCATAGTCAAAACAAAAAAATTCCTTCCAGTAGCACCTTAAAGACCAACTAAGTTAGTTCTTGGTATGAGCTTTCGTGTGCATGCACACTTCTTCAGATACACATATCTGAAGAAGTGTGCATGCACACGAAAGCTCATACCAAGAACTAACTCCATTGCACATGGTTTCCTTCACCAAAAACACATGGAGCACTGTGGAATGACACTTTCAATTCGTTACTTAGAACTGGATAGAAGCTATACCTTACATAGAGGCAAAACCTCACTCTGGGAGGGTGGTAGTGAGTTTTATTTGTTGTTATTATGTAATTCTGTTTTACGTGTGAAACCAACAAAACATGTTAAACAAAAAACAGCATGGAGGAACAGCATGGATGGAAGTCAGCTCTGGATCTGAACTCATCAGAGATCATGAGTGTTCATTTGATATCTTGCTGGCCCATTGACCAATAGAATATAACTTCTGCCCATTCTATATGATTTATTTTGGAAACAGCAGGTCTGTGCTCTCATGTGAGATTAAAAGGCCTGGAGTGATGGTTTCTCAAATACTTAACAGAGGAACCTAGATTTAAAAAGCAGGGGGCAGGACTCCTCTAATGAACCACATTAGTGTAAGCCCTATGCAAGCAGACTACCGCCCCCCAAAAAAAATCGTGGGTTGGTAGGGGTCAGGAGAACCCACAAACTGTGTGCAGGGAAGAGAGAGGAGAGAGATTTCTATCTGGAAAGATTGAATTCCTGCACATGTGGACTATTTGTCATAGTGTGTGCTGAATTCCACTCCATAGAAATAAGGTTTCAGTTGCATTCAACACACTCACTCAAGCAAAGGGAAAAAAGGGTGGTGTTATGAGTTGCCTGACTCTAGCATCCTGTGACATATAACACATAGGGACTGGGTAAAAATGGCTCTAAGAAGTCAACATAATAAACATTTATGAAAGCAACATGTTTCTGACAGCCAGTGGAAACTTACAGTTCACTGAGAAGAGGTGTTAGATTATCATAGCAACAAACTGTACAGATCTATGCGAGCACTTTTTTCTTTCATGGAGAATTAGTAGTTATCAAAACATCTAAGTTAGGACTGGAATCCTGTCTAGTCACATTAAAGTCTCATATTTCAAAACCTGAATTTTGCTTTAAAAAGTTCATGATAAAATCAACATTCGGCCATCCAATAAAGTTCTAAAATGTCAGCTTATCCTACCACTTTGCAGTGGCTTCCTTAGTAGTCTGCGTGTTTGAAGCTGATTTATCTTTAAGGACATGTGACTAAATGAAACAGACTTCACTTTTCCAGGCCAAGAAATACTGAATTATCAACTCATTGAAGAATACTGGGCTAGATAGCCTTTGGTCTCATTCAGAATTGTAATGTTTTTATGGAAGAAACATAAAGGAAGCATTGAAAAGCTGAAAGAAGAGTTATTACCATTAATGTTACCTTAGGCAGTAAACTGGGTTTTTATTAATCAGTCATATATATATAACACCTTACCACATGACAACACAATACAGTGGTACCTCAGGTTAAGTACTTAATTCATTCCGGAGGTCTGTTCTTAACCTGAAACTGTTCTTAACCTGAAGCACCACTTTAGCTAATGGGGCTTCCTGCTGCTGCTGCGCTGCCACCACACAATTACTGTTCTCATCCTGAAGCAAAGTTCTTAACCTGAAGCACTATTTCTGGGTTAGCGGAGTGTGTAACCTGAAGCGTATGTAACCTGAGGTACCACTGTATATTTAAAGAACATAGCATAAAAGGAGCCCTGGTAGACCAGGCTGAAGGCATTTGTTCTCACAGAAGCCAGTCTATAGGAAGTCCACAAAGAGGGTTCACGAACCGCAGCATTGGTATGCAGAGGCAGACTGTCTCTGGGCAGTATTCAGCTACAGAGTCCATTCCTCACAAGGATTTCTGCTCGTACAACTGGCTTTTCCTCCTCTCCTGTCCCTATATGTGCCTCATACTTTCCAAAGGAATCCCTAGAGCAGATTCGTTTATTTATTAAATTTGTCTCTTGCTCTATATTGCCCAAGGCAACTCAAAGCGGCTTAACAACCAAGCAAATAGACAATAAATCCCATATACTGTAGATACATTTAAAACAAAGAGGAAAGAGCAATACATTAAAACATTCACCCACAGAGAGGATATGCAGGGGAGACATAGGGGGAAGCATTCCATTATGCAAGGAAAACTCTCTTCCTCAGATACTGGAGGTTATATAGCCATCATGACTGGTAGCCATTGGCTGACATTCTCCATTAATTTGTTACTTCCATTGCACATTTGTAAGCCAATGATCTAGGTTTACTAAGAGCTATATACCGTATTAATCTAATTCAGAGCTATGGAGCAATTCAGATGACACCAATTGGGCCATGTAGGCTAAAATCACACAATCAGTTTCCAGATAAAACGTATAACTGATTGCATTACTTGTGCTACACACATCAGCTTTTATCCGTCCAAACTGTAATTCGAATATGCCATCCCTGCCCCTGAAATCTGGTAAAAAAAAAAAATCACTTGTTATTCAGACAACCAAGTCTGCTTGGGAGTGAGTGAACACTCACACTGATAGTTTGATCATATATTTTTGGCTGTGTGTAAGAATGCAGAATGGCTGAAAACAGGCATTTTAACATAACTGAAACCAAGGTTTCAAAATGTCAGATAGGCCTAGCTTTCTTTGAATATAATTTCAGTATTTCCCATTGCTGCTATGAAGGACTTGGTCTCTTGTCAATCATCTCCTCAGGAGAGTACTTGAAAGAGACCATGGGAGTGCTTGAAGGCTGATAGCTACAAATTTTCTGGGGGGAAAGTGCATGGTGGGGGACAGCAGCATATCTTGAGTGGTAAACCTCAGGCTTATATACTGTCAAGCTCATTTAACTTCACTCATGTTTATGGTACATTCCAATTATTCTAAATCAAATTCTTAGGTGCTAGCGCTGAGAGCCTTTCCTCCTCTGACCAAGCCCTTGGCTTTAACATTAGCGGTGGACATGTCTGGGAAACTTGGGGGGGGGGGTTGAATTAGTTCTCCTTGATCTAACATCCAGACTTACATTCACCTGTGTGAAGAATACTATCAAACAAAGGGGTTTGGTCTTATACAAAGCCTACTTTGATGCCTTGCTCATTCTGCTTGGGTTTTTGTCACTAGCTAGGTAGTTAATTAAGGGACAAGGGTGGTGCTGTGGGTTAAACCACAGAGCCTAGGACTTGCTGATCAGAAGGTCGGCGGTTCGAATCCCCATGACGGGGTGAGCTCCTGTTGTTCGGTCCCAGCTCCTGCCAACCTAGCAGTTCGAAAGCATGTCAAAGTGCAAGTACATAAATAGGTACCACTCCGGCAGGAAGGTAAACGGCGTTTCCGTGCGCTGCTCTGGTTCGCCAGAAGCGGCTTAGTCATGTTGGCCCCATGACCCGGAAGCTGTACGCTGGCTCCCTTGGCCAATAAAGCGAGATGAGCACCGCAACCCCAGAGTCCGTCACGACTGGACCTAATGGTCAGGGGTCCCTTTACTTAGGTGGTTAATTTAGTTTACTAATTCCAAATGGACCTCCTTTCTTGTATGTATGTGTTTGTATGTGTATTCACACACACATCTTCTAGAGCTGGCCAAAGTATAGCTATGGGGAATTATATTCTTCCACCCCAATTGAAAGAAATGTAAGAAGTGAAGACGTAATAACTCTGGTCTATTTTAGGAATTCTGAAGAGGTATCCTGAAGAAGGCGTCTAATAACACACCATGAAACAAGTTGCCATGAATATTAAGCGCCATCAGCTAACACAGCTCGTGGTATGGGAATATAGAAGAAGAAAAGTAAGTAATAGTTTCCAGTCTTACAATGATCTGAATCGTTGTAAGATTTCTGGCCTGAAAATTATCCCACCCCTCAATCAAAACTATACTGGCAGGGATCAATTTCATGCCTCTTCAAGCAGCTGTCCTGTATATTCTTCAAGAACTAACACGAGTAGACTAATGCTGCATTTCTTCAAGGATAACTTCTGGCTGCAAATATACTCATGGACCCCCAGCCAAAAAAATACCAACGTAATTCAAATGGGAGAGAGAGCATAGGTCAGTGACGCAGCATACATTTCACATACAGAAGGCTACAGATTCAGTCCCTAGCACCAAGGAGCAGAGACTGTAAGAGACCTCCACTGACTGAGACCATGGACAGCTCCTGCAAGACAAGAACAGATAATGCTGACCTGGAATAAGGCAGTTTCCTATCTTTCTTATTCCTAGTTCCTCAGTTTCCTGTGCACATTCAGGCGTCATGTCTTCTGATTAACAAGTTAACTTGACTGGGTATCTCCCTCACAGCAAATATGGAAAAGCTATTGTGGCAAATACAAAATAATAATCCGCTAAAAAACAACTCCTCAACAGAGTATACTCCTGAGCCATCACCATGACACTTTCCAAGACAGTGTTACCAATTTTTTCAGAGTGTGCAAAAGGGACTGTTGCATATATTTAATGGAGTATCTTAGAAGAAAATATGGTGGCTCTTCTTTTTTTGAGACACATCGTTTACTGGTAGGGACCCACTAATGGGTTGTGTCCTGAACCAAGGTGGGTCACAACAGAAGCATTTCCAACATGTGAATATATGTTAA